TACTCTGTGAAAAGAGTTACACTTCATCTGTGTAACTAAGCTTTTTTGTGAAACAACCCTGTTTTTAGCTTTGTGACATTTTTACAGCCATTCTATGCACACAAATAAGTTAAACGATCAAATGAATAATAGGAAATAAATAGAAAATGTTCTTCTATAAGTTCCAAAGAGATTTGGTTCAGATATTTTGATTGACCGGCAGTCATTCAGTCACTGGAATTATCCATGAAACATGCCAAGTAATTCCTAAACGTGTGTAGAGTAATGAAAATTATTTTACCTGGATATGATTGTCTCTGATGAGCCTGAGGTGTAAAACTTACCGGCGACATTTCTGGGTCCATTTTTGTAACGTTTTTTTGCACTGTGGTGCTAGCGACCGGAAATACGCAGAAGTAAGGGCGGGAACAGATCGAGAAGGCTAGACTGTCCAATTTCACAGCCGCTCACTTCCGCCTACCTGGCCTCCTGAGGACCCAGCCCACGTAGACCGCAAAGGCCAGGATCCTCAGGAGGATGCAGCCTATGAATTTGGACACCCCTAAGACACGTACAGCCACTTTTCAGCAGACTTAGAGTTCCTTACCATTAAATGCAGACCTTTTTTTCCTCCGCTGGGAGTTATCGTCAGCGATTCTGATCACTGCAGTGTATGTAGCTCCAGACGCTAATGCTATGTCTGCTCTTAGCCTCCTACATAGTGCCATTAGGACCCAGCTAAACATATATCAAGATGGGACTCACATAATAGCGGGGGACCTGAATCATGTAGGCTTAAATCTGCGTTCCATCAGCATGTGAAATGTGCTACATGTGGGGATAACCTACTAGATAAAGTCTACTCCAACATTAAGCAAGGATACAAGGCCATACTAAGACCCCATCTGGGCCAGTCGGACCACGTATCCCTGTTTGTGCTGCCAGCTTACACACCCTCTGTACTACTACATTCGTACTCTCCTACTTCAAGAATTGCACAGGCACTGTCACTACTGAAAAAGGTATCCGGGTGTATGCCAGTCAAAAACCCTGAATGACAAGAGGAAGTCAGGACCCTGCTGAAGAAAAAATCCCTGCCTAAAGGTTGCGAGACATGGAACTGTACAGTGGAGCTAGGGTAAACCTGAAAAGGGGCATCAGACGGGCTAAGCTGGACTATAAAAACAAAATTCAGGATCATCTCCACAGTAATAACTCTATGCAGGTGTGGAGGACAGTCCTCATCATCACCAACTACAAACACAGAACCAACGGCGTGGATGGCGATGCTACACTTATAGAGAAGTTGAACTGCTTCTACACCTGCTTCGAACAGAAAACACCAGAAGTGGCTACTTCACATCCACCAGCCACATCTTAACTGTTGGGGGAGGATGGTTTGAGGCGTGTACTAAGGACAGTAAACTCCAAGAAAAAAGCAGGACCCGACTTTAGGGTGCTAAAGGACTGTGCAGACCAGGGCCCTGTTTCAGGAAGCCGGTTTAGAAAACTCAGAGTGAAAAACGATACGCAG